TGCTCGCCCTCGATTCAGAACGGACACAGACTACCAATAGAAATCAATTTCGAGCAGCACGCATCTTTATCTTAAAACCGCGCGTATAGATTGTATTGTTTTAGATTGTGGGGAGCGGGAACTATAGCAATAACCAGTCAGACAACAGCGGACGATTCTGTGCGAGTTTCAAAGTTGTTCGTGTATTCTGTTATGTTGCGCTTTGTTTGAGTTTCATGCAAGAACAAGCAACCACATGCTAAACGGGCTTACGGCTTTAAACCCCCATCTCTCTCCTGGTTATATTTTGTTGATTCTTGTTTTATTCGTAAGTAGACGGAGTTGTATTCGGCCCGAGAAACCTATTTGCTTTATAAAAATACTAGCGACCGGTCCCGGCTTCGCACGGGTGCATGCAAACATAATGATATAAACCTTCCTCTTGAATTACTCTATCGAGTAAAAAAACGGCATCGAGATCCAAAGCGTAGTTTTGAAGATCTAAGCATACATGGGGACAGACAGCGGGGCAACTTCGTTTTATACTATGTAGTGATGATTTGCATATTGTTTGGTCTGAATTTTTGAAGACGTTGGTGTTTTATATTTGCGATTTTTATATTTTATTTTTACATTTCCGAGATATAATTACTTTCAGGGCTGTCATTCCAGACTTTACAATAGAGCGGCACAAGTACTTCATATATACGCAATAATGCTATAAGCGTTAAGTAGAAGTTTTATATTTCTGTGTTACACATGGCGACGCATTTTCAATCTTGCGGGTGTTGCAAATGTCCATGAATGGCGATTATTACTTGATATATTACATAAGTTGAAACGCGTGTTCCCTTGCCACCTTCTAATAAAAAAAACATGACATCCATAATCTGTATTACTCTCAAGAGCTCTAACCCTCTGGAAAAAGTAGACCAGCTGTGGACACGTACCTAATCATTAACGTCTCGTGTTCTTATCCCACCTAAGAACGATCAGTCCAAAATATGAATTATGCCGTTAGTGGTATTTAGCTACGTTTTTAGCACCAGCTGCCTGCCCGTTGTCAACAGTTGGAGCAAACACCCAGATCCGGAAAGTTTATCTGTGATTTACCCAACTACTGGTAGTCCCGTGTGTAATAAATCAGAAACTGTGTACATTTGTAAACCTGTAATACAGTAGTGTGAACTACTACTAATACTATATACTGTGCAGTTTATAGTATTAATAGTAGTTAATACTATAAACGATACAGTTTTTATTACTTAAAAATAATATCCGAATTTTTAACTAACTACAAGCAGGATTTTTAACTTAAACTGACCAAGCGAGTAATTTAAGATGCGTTTTTGTTTCATTTCTGGCTTGTCGTTGGCAAACGAAATGTTTAGTGACATTATCATGAGGGCGTTTTGATGATAAAGTTTAAAAATAGCTCTCGTTTATTTAATTATGTTACAATTATACGGGATACATTTAATTTGCATCTTATGGTTCGCGTAGCACGGTTTCTAAGCTCGATTCCACTTTGAGCAGCTCCTTGTTTAGCCTAAACATAACTGCTCCCGACCTGGTTTATTGTACTTGTGTTGTTAACCGCATTGATTTTTTATACAACTAAGAGTTAGATATCGCACCGAAACTGAGGCATTCAAATTACGGAAATTGCTATAATCGACTAGTCTGCTATTGCTTTCAGTATCACATGTTCTATGGCATCTGTCACATTCACTTATATATGTCATATATTGATTCAAAGTGGAATATTAAGCGGCTCAGTAAAGACATGTGTCATCTTCATTAAAACAACATTAGTTAAGCGCCTCTAAAAGACAAGATAATTAATATTATCCTATAATGAAGTAAAATATAAATGTCTTAGTAATCAAATGAATTGCTGTATGATCGCTAATTGAAGTATTAAAGTAAAATACTATTTTTTTTAAGGAACAAAATTTAACAGGAACAAAGCCGTTAAGACGCGTACAAATAAAGGGTTTAGGCTGGAGAAGGAAATGAGTCGGTTTGACAGGATAACGAGGTCAGAATAGCCTTAAAAATGGGTTAGCTTCATCGTTTGAATTAATAAAGAGGTCAATGTAAATTTGTATAAGTGCTGTTTCTACGAATGAAAATGTCTTAGTGTTAATACATATAACGTGAAACCACGTTGGTTTCACAGTCGTACCTATAGTTTTTAAGGATTTTTAAACCTATTATTATAATATAATTTATTATTTTTTTATTAAAATAATACCAAATAAGAAATATTTCGAATATATGTAATCTCGTTCAATGTTCAGTGAGGTCTTGTGGTATTATAGACAGTGGAGTTTAGGAAGTCTAGCCCATCAACAGGCTGTTACTTAACATTTTTCTTCATTAGCTAAAGCCTGCTAACTGTGGTGGGGCAGCAACAGTCTTCTCTGTTGCAGGAATGGACAGGTCCATCCGGGTGAGTACAACGGGTGAATACAACGACCTCACAGAAGACCGGCGTGAAGTGGAAGTGGTATACTTCTGCGTTTGATCTGGTGAGTGAGGTAGCCCAGGCCTCCTTTATTATAAGGTGGCAACGCATTTGCAACACCCAACGGTTATCACTTAACACCAGGTGAACCGCCGGCTAGTTCGCCACGTTCTCACATAAAAAAGCCCATTTCATTCCATATCAATAGAAAAAGTAGAGAGGACAGTTTGTACCTAATGCCTCAATGAAGGTCGAAACCGCAAAACGTTCTCTGGAATTAATTCGAAACGAAACAAGCATAAAATTGGCAATGTCACCGTTGAAAAGTTGTTATTCGGTACAAATTCAAAAAGCACTTTGATTGATCACCCGACGGCGTCGGAGGCTGTGCCGTTGTTGGCGCAGTTTGAAATTAATCACGACCTAATTGATGAATTTATTATTATCGAACGTCTGCGATGAATGAAGTCGATAAAGGAATATTCAAAGTAGACTTCAATAACTGACGCGATGAAAATGCGTTGCGATATTGGGTATTTATACGTTAAAATACAAGTGGGTCGTTTATCCAGAGCTGACTAATAATTAACTTAAGGTTTATGACGGACACTGAGCCGTGATAGTTCAGTGTCCGGGCGCTCGCCTTTAATTCAATATACTCGAGCAACCTGAGTTCGATCCCCGGTGCCGGCACCAATGAAGTTTTTAACTTTAAGTGCTGACTTATCACGTGCTCCGCGGTGAAGGAAAACATCGTGAGGAAACCTGCATATTTTCGAAATAATAACAAAAAAAAATATATTTCGAAGATCTGTGAAGTCCGCCAATCCGCAGTGGGGCCGCGTGGTAGACTATGCCCTGATACCCTCTGTATTGAGGAGGCCTTTGCCCAGCAGTGGGACATGTATAGGCTGTTACTTTACTTTTTTTTATGACTTCTGTGTTGCCTATGTCTATTTTAATGTTGATTGAGACTGACGCCAATCACATATTATTAGATATAGAACTTTCTTACAATGACATTGTTCAAACTTTTAACAATTTCAAGCATGATTTTCTGTGATGAAAAAAGTTTTTATCTGAGTTTATCAAAAAAAATAGTTTGAAATATTGAATTACATTTTTACATTTATTCGCTTTTTCTTGCTTAAACTGAACTTTATCAGATGAGATATTTAACGCACTCAATTTAATACAATGTAAAGCTGTAACAAAAGGAACACGCTGTATACAAGATTTTTGGCAACTAAATTTGGTGTTAAATTAAAACTATCCATTTTGATAACAATAATTACAGACATAATGCACTTTCAGTATAATCAAAATATGTGTATCAGTGATAAGAAAGTTACCAAATTATTTAAAAAAAAATCTAGTAACAACAGTTTTCTTGTATATACTAGCTGCTTACTTTATTTTTTATGAAAATTATTAAGTATATTTTTTAGATAAAAAATGCCAAATTCAACTACAAACTTAATATTTTATATCATGGTAGAGATTAAAATTTGTAGAAAAAGTACGTAAAATCATGGGAGAGGGCAGAAATTTTAATTATGTTTTACCTTTTACATAATAAAGTCGTGCACTTTAACAGTAGGTAAAGTTATTAGTTAGTAGTAGTTAGAATTATTACGGATCCTGTTGCAGTTAATTACTTACTGTATTAGAATTACTGTGTTTTAATATAAATTTCGAGGTGAAAAGAAATATTTTTGTTAAAATTTATTCCTTATGATTCATAAATTATAACAAAATCTAAAATATTGAAGTTAATAAAATATAAAAAAATAACTTCAAATCTAATAATTGTTTGTGTGTGAGTAAAGCTAGAAACTATATTCACTCACGTAAATCATAAACAGTTTTATGAAATATAAAAATCAGAGGTTAATATTTTATGATATTTTTTTATTAAAAGATGTGTGATTATGACCATAAAATGAATTTGTGTGTGTCTATTGTGATTAAAGTGATTTTGAAATCTTTTTGGGTAAAAGCTCGGCAACCTCAAATAATCTTCAAATTAGAGGTCAATGTGGACAGAGGGTTCCATAGAAACGATTCGTGGAATAATACTGCCTTATATTATTATAAAATTGCTGTATGGACTTTCTAATATCATATTAAGAATATAACCCATTTTTAATATGATTCTGCAAAGTCAGAAAGCTTAAAACAATAAGCTTTCAAAAGTTAGCTTATTTTGTAATAATATTAATAGTATTTATGTACACTATAATATTAACAGTATTTATGTAATAATATTCTTAGTATTTATGTACACTAATAATACTTATATACTCGTATATCCTTAATTGGCAGAAAATACTTGTCTTGCGTATGTTTTTCAATGGGTTTTTCCTTTTATGTCCTTGTATTTTTGCTTTTCACACTAGTTACAAAAAAACCTAGAATTCGTGTTACTGCCGCCCGTTGTTTAGGTGCAGTTTAAAACGTAACCGTCACAACAATAACACAGTCACAACGTTTTGTACAATAAACATAATTCACAGCGCGTACACGCGAGAGGGCAATTTAAATTACGTACCTGTGCAGAAATATAGGGGCCGCAGTTTTGAGGGGCTCAAGCTCGTGCCCCGCTAGCACGCCACTGGCGCACTGTTGTATTAAAAATTCAGAAAAACAAGCGACGATCGATCCACGACACCAACAGCAGAGCTACCGGGTAGAGTCGCCCGTAGAGTCGCCGAAAGTCAGTGCTTTGTCTGCTCACTTTTGGAATTCGAATTACATGCTTCAAACCGTTCCCGCGGCCGCTTGGCGGCGCCAAGCGAGCGCCCCACCGCCTTTGTGTCGCGTCACTGACGTACAGGGAGCGGGCAACGCATGCGCCATTTAAAAATTGTACAACACTAGTGTCGCCACTTGATGGCACCGTAGCCGGATAAAGCTATCCAAGCGCATTTAGCTCGACCGGATTATCTCGCTTTCGGCTAGCATACGCATTTTCGCCGTGTGTTTTGGTAAACTGCATTAAGTTGTTTAAAACTGATGCAGCTTACTAAGAGTTAGTGATTACGTATTGTTTAAACATTTGTAGATAAAGCTGCCGCTTCAAATATTGGAGCCTACGCATTCTGGATTACGCGTCTAGACGCTCTAGCCACTAAGTCGCCTTCAATACTAACTTTAGGCCTTCAAATGGGTTGCTAGTCTTTCAGGAAATGCTATGCTCTCTTATCGAAGGTTTCTTAAGCATTATCTATCTTATTTTGGACTAAATTTAAGTTACTGAAATTTAACTTCCCCATTTACCTTTATAGTAAGAAAAATAAAAGATTTCGTAGCCACTTCTATTGTTGCGTGAATGGGCGGGCTTTTCAAAGGAATTGTATAGGTCTTACAATTAATCGACGAAACAGTTTGAAGTTCTCTTGAAGTGCCTGCCCATTTTCCGTCTTTTCCCATTAAGAAAATAATTTTATATATGACAATAGTAATTTAAATAGGGTGCAAGTCTACGGAAGGCAAATACCTCCTGTATTACATTTGTCCCGGAACATGCGATGTTATGCCGACCCTAACTTTGCCGATACCGAGGCATATTTCAGTTTGTAATGAACTGGTACCCTGCTAGCCCATCAAGCACCTTCCAACTAAACGTTAAGGAACATTTTCGCCTATCAAAAAAAAAAGAAAACCAAAAAGTTATATTTTTTAAAACTATAATAGTATTCTGTCTCTGTCCCACTAAAAGTGTCTTTGAATTTGAATGGAGCGAATTTCATAACAGGTCGTTAAATCTTTTTCCCATTATACGATCCCTGTAACCTTCTTTGCTAGATATATTAATAATTTTTACAATCATATGTCGTTGATTTTGCTGATAATTTTGTGCTGCATCTAAACAACACTGTCGCTAAATGTACGTGCAACAGGGATTAAAGTCTTAGACTGGGCTTTACTCGTATACTATTGCATCAATCTTACAATAATGTAAGAAGATAGAAATTCTTAAGTAAATAGAGATTCTTCAGAAGCAGTTTAAAAGGTCAATTTATGTACTACAGTATGAAATATAAAAGGTTAATTTATGTACTAAAGTATATTAATTTTGAATTAAAATGTAGGATATAAATGAGAAACTGTATGTCGTTCAGATTTAAAGCATAACACTCTGCGTAGCCTGAAGAATACTAGCGTAATTGTTATTTATAAGAAGCTACAGTATTAAAGTGAAAAAGAAGTTTCCAGAGTCAATTCTTTACTTTCTGCACGAGACTTCGTTGAACAAATTAAAAGTTTCGGAACTAACATTGCATTCTCGTGACGCATAATACAACCATTGGTTTTATTATAAGTTGCTAGCCCCCGGCATATAATGAAACAACCATATGCTCAAGAATATATCGACGGAGGTTACTCATTCTCTAGTGGAAAATCGATGCTACAAATACTGAAAGCGTTTTGCTGGTATCGTAGACTTAGAATCTTTAGATTAGATATCATATGTAATATAAAACATTAAGAACACTGTCTATCTCAGACTATCATTTAGTGTCAAAAGTCCTTGAGAGCTCGCTCCATTTATATGCTAAACATACACGTACAATCTGCACTGCTGAGCAAAAGGTAGCCTAAAAGGTAATAAATGGGGGCCACGGAAAAACTGCGGCAGAATAAACCGCATTACCATTTCCTGACCCAGATGTATCTGTTGAAATTACGAGAATAGATCCAAACGGAAAATGGGGGGCGCCTCTGTCTATGCTTTGGATTAGCGAAAACCTAACATTGAAGTACAAAGCGAGTGCTAATTAGGAGTGAAATAATGGGAAGTTCCCCCCAGCGCTACTCACAGTAACGGTGCTTGGTTTATACATGCCGTTAGTTTCTCTACTGCAGCACGCTTCTACTGGAAATACCTACTGGGTTACGTTAATTATATTTTCATATCAATTATTTATGTCTCTTCTTTTAAATTTATTATAATGTACAATTTCTACGACTCTATATCTCATGTTCTTTCGACTTAATCTAAAGCTTCGTTGTTCAAGCTGTTGTGTTGTTTTATTCAACAAGATATATTGTGATCGTTAATATTGGTTTTACTTAGAAATGTGGAAAGCAACAATAAAAAGTAGGTTATACAAAATATACACTATAGTTTGTTATACATATGAACAGAAAATAGTAATAAGTCAAAAATATTTTTTTCTGATTGTTAAGAGACTTTTCTGATAGTTTGTTGGTATGCATCAAATATGTTTAGTAGAATTTTGTCTGAAATAGTAATTACAATAACATACATGAATTTTCTACTCTCCCTCTCTACAGTCTCAGCACCTTTTCAATAAACATGTAATAAGATATGTAATTTTTATATATGTATTAGCCTACAAATATTGATTTTAGAGGAAATTTTTTGTTACTATCACAAGGTTTGACTGATAGCGAATGCTATTTAGCATTAAGTCAGCCCGTTGTGGTGATTAGTCTAAGTTTAAATAAATAAATGTAACTCAGTATTGCAAGAGTCGTGATAGCTCCGTGTCCGGGCGCTCGCCTTTAATTCAAGATACTCGAGCAATCTGAGTTCAATCCCCGGTGCCGGCACCAATGAAATTGTTAATTTCAAGTCCTGAATTATCACGTGCTCAGCGGTGAAGGAAAACATCGTGAGGAAACCTGCATATTTGGAATAATAACAAAAAAAAATATATCGAAGATTGATGTGAAGTCCGCCAATCCGCGGTGGGGCCGCATGGTGGACTATGCCCTGATACCCTGTACAGAGGAGGCCTTTGCCCAGCAATGGGACATGTATAGGCTGATATTCTACTTTTTATTTTCAGTATTGCAACTTCCAGACATGTTTTACATAACGTTTTTTTTATGTATGCCTGATATCATACACATTAATGAAACTACTTAACAAGTTTCAACGCGGTTTATTTAACACTTCAATAACTATAAGAGTTCTAACGTTTTTACCTTGATCCTAACATTTTAAGTATTACTGAACTTGAATATTAACAAGTATTATAACGACAAGCAGCGCTGGTGGTTATATCACCGTCCGGGAACGCAGCCGAAATCCAAGTGACCGCTGCTCCATGCGACCATGTGTCCCTTGGCTCGAGTAGATAACGTCATATCCGGTATACAGTGTTGCCAGTGCCAACATTCGGCCGTCCTGCATCACGCCTTCGTCCTCGAATGGCGTTGCAGTCTGGTACAAGTAACTTTCATAAAATTAACACCTTACCCTGTGGCTTATCTCCCTCGACTAGGATGCATATCGCCACGTTCAGAACACCTTACACTGTGGCTTATCCCTAACTGGGATGCATATCGCCACGTTCAAAACACTTACCCTGTGGCTTATCCCTCACAACTGGGATGCATATCGCCACGTTCAGAACACCTTACCCTGTGGCTTATCCCTCATAACTGGGATGCATATCGCTACGTTCAGTTTTCATCGAATTATCAACTAAGGTAGCTTTACCGGTTAGACCAGTCGTGTATTGCTACGTTGTCTAAGTACGAGTGAAGGTGTTTACAATGGATATCCATCGCCAGTTCATGCCTTAAATTTTCCAACTACTAAAATGCTCGGTAGCTAAACCGGGTAAATCAGTTGTGTATCGCTATTTAACATTTTCTCAAATATGTTAAGTAAATAATTAACTGGAAGGTACTCACCAAAACTTTCGTTACATTTAACTAACAGATTTTATGACCATTACGTAGAGTAAGTATAAAACACACTGTTTTATTTAACGAGAGTAGGTACCCAAAGAGAAAATATGTCGCCGATTGTTTGAACAGCCAAAGCGCGAGTTTTCGTATTTTACGCCACTTCTGATATAAGAGTTCTAACGTTTTTACCTTGATCCTAACATTTTAAGTATGACTGAACTTGAATATTAACAACTATTATAACGACAAGCAGCGCTAGTGGTTATATAACTTTACAGCATTTATGGATATTGAACATACAAAATGATTAAAAACAAATTCAAACACACTAATTAATACTCATAAACGGGGTGTATAATTATTTTGCCTATAATAAAATATCAATAAAATTTTAGATAATTTAGAATTGTCTATGCAAACGAAAGTGACGAGAGCAAGCTTGTAGGAATATTTTAATGTTTCTTATAGCCTAAAGTGTCCTTTACCTGAATACAAAAATAAAGTATGGAACGCGCCAACACAAGCAACACAAACACAGCTCCTACATTTTATTTCAAGTGTTATTGATCCGCCGACCTAATTGTGACAATGCTAATGAAAGGTTCTAAAATATACTAATTTAAAAGCCACCCCAAAAGGTGTATGGTTATTTCTAAACTCGATCAATAGTTGTGATCGGTGTGACTGAAATGTCAGTGTTGAAATTATTATTGCCTTTTTGAGTCACTTAAAAATTGTTCTTCCATCTATAATTTTTATGATTACATGCTTAATAAAATAACCATTACTTCTACCACACGACAATATTTTTCACGTGAACAAGATTTTTCTAAGTAGACCTGTTTTAATAGGATATCATCCAGATCCAGGAAAATAATTTTTGTGTGTCCTAAAAGTGGAAATCAAACTCGGTCTATTATTAAAAGTATTTAAAAGAAAAAAAAACACGAGGAAATAATTAGTTTATTATCATAAATTATCAATTATAAGTTATAATCACAGGATTTTTTTAATTTTGGATAAAAAATATGGCGAAAAAAAACAAAAAAAATGTAGTACAATTGTTAACATAATTTATTTTTATGGACAAATGGCGAAAAATTTATAAAAACAGAGAGAGTAAAATTACACAAAATGAAACTTAATTTCATGATTCCCACTTGTTACATTTTCTGAGCACAGCAGTGTTA